AATATTAAATTTGGAATTACGAGAGGAGTGGTTGGGAATTGTGAAAGAAAATAAGAAAACAATTGTAAAAACTTTTTTATGTTCGAAATTCAATACAACTTTTAAATGGTATTATAACTTTAGTTTATCATAGATTGGAAATTTCATATTTTTTGTGGTTCATGTTGTAAACAAAAGATAGCTTTTATATTGAGTACTTAATTCACGCCGTCCTTTGTAGCATTGTAAAATCCAAGACATTTACAAAATTTTACCATTTTTAATATTACCTAATTATTTTTTATGTCAGAATTGAACGCCAGATTTAAAACTTTGCAAATTACAGATGGCAAAAACTATTTAGAGATTTGAAAGTGCCATCTACCATTTAAAAGATGTATTGAATTTCGAACATAAAAAAGTTTTCACAATTGTTTTCTTATTTTCTTTCACCATTCCCAACCAATCCTCTCGTAAATCATTCGCATTAAATAAACATGTTATTTTATTATTAATAAACATGTCTTTTTTGCACAAATTAACGATCTATGATGTTACTAAACATTTTAAATTTTACATAAATTGACAAATATTACTTGAAAGAAAATCAGTTTACACTTATCGTCTCCTTGTTTTGTAAGAGCTTGTATGTAAACGGATTTTGTAAAATCGTGTAGAAGCCCAATCAAGATGGAAGGACAGATTAACTAATTAATACGAAATTGATTGTCACGTATCCCTCGCAAAATATTAAGGCAGTCCTTGGTAACTCGTAAAATCCGCATGTTTTGTAAAATGGTTTTACAAATTTTGACAAATTAAAAATACGTCCTTGATCTGAACAAATTTCCAAACATTTGGGAGCTAATTTGCCTTTGAAATATTTGGAAATTTTGTAAAAGCTGGTAAATTTACGGAATTTAAGTATTTTACAAACTTACCAAGGAATACGTGGCGTGAAGGAGTATTTTGGGTCCTGGAGGGCCACGGCTTTTTATTTTTTAATTTTGAAGATTAGTATAGGGTAATAATAAATAAATAACGTAAAGTTGAAAAAACTTACCTCCAACCACTTTTGGGGCTCGAAAACGAAGATCGCGACATCTTAATTTTTGATGGTTTCCGGGGCTAATATCTCCAAAAGGGTTACAAATCTCTGAATACAACCAATTGGGGAAATCGAGGTACTTACAGATCAACAAAAAATAAAGGTCAACAAAAAATAAACAAATCCTAACCCATTATCTTGTACGGGAGGAAAAATATATGAATAAAGGACAGACTTTTTTTGGAAAATTTCAGATTTTCAGCTTTCATTGAACTTTTGCACGTGATTTGGGCATAACGATTGAATTCCTGGCGCACCTACTACCCGTATACGTTACGTAATATAGAGATCCCAATGGGGCCTTCCACAGTTTTTTAACCAAATATCATAAATTATAAAAAAATTGCAAAAAATGCTTAATTTTTGAGTTGTTGATGTCTTATGCTTAAATAGAGGTTAGAAATCTTTGTCCTCCATTCAATCAAAATCCTCAAAATCAATCTTTGCAAACTGAAATAATAACTGATATAATTATAATAAATATAATTTAAAGTCGTGGAACGGTCCTAACAAATAATTACAGGCCGTGAAGTTAACAATTTCTTGTAAGACTTTAAAAATCTTTAACAATTGAGTTACAATTGAGTTACTAAAGAGCAGTACAGATCCAATATATTTAGATATTAGTCTTTAGTAGAGACGGATGTTTTTGTTTAATTTTCAGATAAAATCTGTTTTATTTCTAAAAGGTTACTGATTATTTCGAAAACCATTCTACAAATCTTTCAAATTATCATAACTATATACGATTTTGCATAACGGTTGCATAAATGGTTTTCGAAATAATTAGTAATCTTGATAAAAATATGCCGATTTTATCGGAAAATTTGGGAAAAATCATGCTTATCAAATTAAGACTGTACACATTGTAAATCTTGTATCTGTATTACTCTAGAGTAATTCAATTATATAAAATAAATGTACGAAGTCGTTTCAATCCTACATTTTGCGAAATTTGTTAACTCCAGATGATTAATTATTTTTTTAGAATCTTTCCACGACTTCAAATTTAGTTTCTGAAATATTACGAATTATGTATTCGTAATATTTATATTTCGTAATAATTATTTATTTCGTAATAATTATTTATTATTGGAATTATTATTATAATGAATTATTTAAACCTTATAATTAGAAACATGTCCACTTCCTGGGCAAATTTGTGGATCAAAGTCAAAGCGATGAAAGCCGTATGCATCTTTTTAACTTTTTGCGATTCAACTTTTTTTTAAATCTTCATTCCAACGTTTAAACGATGCAATTTAAAATTTCTCAAATTGAACATAAAATTTTCATTTTGAATTTGCTAGAAATAATTTTCCCGATTTTTAAGCAATTCAATCAAATATCTTAAATCGTACATAGGTACATAGCCACATAGTCATTCCGCATGGTAATGATTCATTAATACCTTATGTTACCTTACTTACCTTACCTTACCTTATTGTACCCGCTCATTTGCACCTGCTCACTTGCACCCCGGCACTCTCCGCCATTCGTTTGGGAAATATTTAAAAATAAAAGCACTTTCTTAGAAACATTTTGCGGAATGTTTCAAATTTGGCAAGTTACGTTGATCTAATCTGATTGGTTAATCGAGACATCAAATTCTGTGCAAATTTCAGTTAATATGAAACACTGACATTTCAAGCATATCATTTACAGTGAAAGTGTGGGTTTGAGTTAACCTGAACTTTTGCATTTGAATGCATGAAATTGAAAAGCTAGAAGGACATGTGACACGGCAATTTACTAATCTTAGCGTATGTACATAGCAAGGGAATATTGCGACATTTTGAAAATAGGAGCCGATTTTTTTTCGTAATTCGAGGCAAAAATAATAAATCAAATTTAACAATTAATTCAAAATTCAAATAACTTCAATTAAAAATCTCATATGATTAAGTTCAATAAGGTTTTTCAAAAAATAATCTTAATTTGTGCCTTTCACTTTCATACTGTCACCACATAACTGCGTTTTCCTGCCGAATTTCTTCCACTGTTTTGAGTTTGAATTGTGTGTCTCAACTTTCCCTTCTCTCATATATTCAAATGGCGATTTTGAAACTTCTTCATCGCCATTTCGTTTTTTATAATATGAGCATTTTAATGCACCAAAAAACCGATAATTTTTAGGTTTACAAAGTTAGGAGGCAATAATTTTGATTTTTTTCTTCAATGAGAAAATATTTAATTTTTACTGATTATTTTTCATCTATTTTATATTTATTTTCTCCTGGAAGAAAAAAATCACGATTCTATCCTCGTATCTTTGTAAACCTAAAAATTTTCGATTTTTAGGTGCATTAAAATCTTCATATTGTCAAAAACGAACGGCGGTGAACAAGTTCCAAAATTGCCATTTGAATATATGGAAGATGGGACAATTCAAACTCAAAACCCGCCCGCTATTCCACTTTAAAAACAGTACACAACCCAACCAAATAAAAATAAGAATGGATGATAAAAGAGCGGAAGTTATGGTGTGAGCATCCAGTCGTTGAGGAGAAGATAAAAATTATACAATTGGACAACTTTCCTTATTTATTGTCTCCTCGTCGACTTTCTCTCCTTCCATGGACACAATTTGCTTTCTTTCGTCTTGCCCTCCACGTGTAGGAATAAGAAATAACGGGACTGTGCAAAAATAAGGTGACCACGACTCGCCTCAAAGCGAGTGCCTTCTGGTATCCTGCCAGCTATTTAAATACGCGCGCAGCCACCACATAATTGCACCCGTCAAATCTCACTCTTCTTCCCCACACGCTACTAAGTAATATTTTTATATTTGCCAACTTTCACCCACGAATTAATGCCGAAACAAATTTTTCACGTAGTGTAAAACAAAATGCATTACCGCTTTCGTTACAATTTACCACGGATTGGTAACAGTAATTTTGTTGCTACAATCGTACCACAGGACAAAAATTAAGTTCGCAATAAAAATTCGCAACATTGAAAAATAACTTTCACCACATGCCTACGCACTAGGATTCATTGCTAGTTGACCGTGTTTAATATAGTCCCTACCAGTTTCATTTGTCTCAGTGGCTGACAAAAGAGCTCGCCCGACGGGTAGAAATGGATGTATGTGTTTTCGGCCGAAGTCGTGCCATGGTGGCACAGGGGACAAAACATCCGATCCCAGTTGAATGGGATCTGACCGGCACAGGTTCAAATCTCTGCCCAGACATTATTTTTGCACTATAAATTTTTATTTACTTGCATTATTATATTACCAATTTACAATTACTATACAAATTAACCAATTTTTCTTTATAACTAGAGCATTTTAACCTTTGCTGTGCGTCCGTGCGTTCAATCAATTAACTTTTATTAATGATAACTTCGAAAAATGTTTACAAAATTACAAAAAATTGGTACAAATGTGTATTCTGGTATGCTGTTTAGATGTATATATATTCGGATTAGTTATTTTTGGTGTGGGTGGCATCGGCCGCAGAATCGTGGAACAGAGGGAAAATGTGCCACTCAATTGTTGTCCATTTCAGTTAATTATTGTCCATTTCATATGTCCAGGATATAAACCCCTCGCTCTCCTATCTTACATTGTTAATGTCCCAACAGCTTCCACTGCCACTATTTAGTGGGTTGTTTCGTGATAATAGTGACAAATATTAAAATATTAAAATTCACACATATAAACCGCGTTTGTAGTGTGGAATAAGGTTATGCATAAATATTGTCACATTCAACAAAAAAAATTACCACAAAATCTAGCATGTGCTTTATGCACCTCCCGTTGACATACAAACTGAACATGACATGTTTGCATCGCGCATCGTCTGGTTTTATTTGTACTGCGTATTAACCTGCACTTGCAGTCATGCCCTCATCCTCAGTTTCGCTAATACTTGCAACACTAAAATTCAGACACAACAACCTCGTAAATATGTGGCATTAGGGTCGGGTGGGGCCATACATATCTGGATATTGAATATGTACATTTTCACATTTGAAGCAAAGCGTTGGCGTAAAATCGGTGATGTACTTTATGCACCTCCCCTTGACACAAAAACTGCGAATGGAAAGTTTTGCATCGCACTCGTTTCATTTCTACTGCGTAGTAAGCGATGTGATCTGCAATTGCAACTCATCCTCAGTTTTGCAAGCCTTTAATTATTTTTTTGCTCATTACTGCACTTTTAACTTCTGTCCGTAAATTTGGCAAGAACTTTGATATTTAATTGTGTTTCAAGTTTTGTTGATTAATATTTCCAACGTCAGAGAGCTAAGCTACGCTCTTAATAAGGCATAACTGATTTTACCCACTACCAGGATGGAAATAATGCTACGTAAGTTGCTCGTGTTTTAAATAAAAAAATTGTCATAAAAATTATTTTAAAACATTGTTGTGTGTACAGATAAACTCGTATTGATCATACTCATCCAATCCCGCATAATGTCGGCCTCTTTTCATCATCATGGTGAAGAAGGATGTCCTACTGATGGCACAATTTTATTTAACAAAGTTAAGACCACCAATAATCATGTTGATGTTCTCAATAGCATTGCAAACCTACTTTATCGGAAAACGACTTCATTCACTTCGGGGGAATACAACATTGCATCTTTTATTTCTGCCGTGAACGAAAAAAACTTCGGTGGCATAAAGTTCTCCATCCATTCATGGGAGAACAACAGAATTTGGATTTCATTTATTGACCCTACCAAGGAATATACTTTCTCTTTATCGCAGAACTTGTGCAAAACTTTAGGGTACACACGTTGTATCTTCCCTGGTAGTGGGAATTACCCGTCAGAAATGTCCCAAATTGATGTAGGTCGACCACCACATAATGAATTATGGACGTTATTTTTTCATAAATGGACTACAAAGAAAATTGTCACTACAGTAAATTCAACTCTGGAGAAGTCAATTGAATGTCTCTCAAATCAGACTGATGGTGCAGTAAAAGTGCTTCTGTCATGTGACGGAACTAAATTTACAATCCATAAGTCCAACTCAAGTTTGTATTTACAATTCACTGAAGACTTCAATCTCCAATTTGGTTTGGATCCGGTATTAATTGGCTCCACATTGACAATTCTTGACAAAAATTCCACATCGGCACACCCCTTTACTCTCAAAGACGAATGGAATAAATGCAGCAAAAATCTTACCATTGTTTCCTTGACTAGTTCATCTGAAACATTTATGAAAGGAGACGCAATTTCTCTCCTCGGTTTAATTCAAAGTATAAACCGCCGTTTTATTAAATCGCCATTTTTTATGAATATTACAATCTCAAGTTCCAAAAATCAACCAACTTCAATAATAACGTTTTTGGATCAATTCGATAAATATATAATAACTTTCTCAGAAGAATTAAGTCAAGTTTTGGGTATTAACCAAACCCAGTTTCATGCAAGTGGAGAATATACTGGGAGTACTTCAGCTGACGACGAAATATTCAATGGGCTTGATCCGGATCAGGAATTTATTATTACGCTTACTCAGAAAGCTATACAGCGTATCCATATCCCACCACCTCAATACATGTCGTATCCCTCAACAGTGAAGACCATAAACAACGCTCTACAATCCTTTATCTCGCACAAAATTGCTTTAACTATTTCTCAAGACTTCGAAAATTTGGAGATAAATATTTTCACAAATTTATCTGTGACTTTCTCCCCTTGCTTAAATAAACTTTTTCACATGAAACCATTTGACTCCTTTACAAGTTCTTCAACATCAATTCAACTACCTCCGATTCTCCTCCCCAAAGATATAAACACAACGCCACAAATAATCCCATCAACTTCTCAAAATGCAGAAGAGGAGGAGGAGTCAGGTACCGCCATGGATACATCACCGGACGATGCTGTTGATGATAATACTAGTATACAAGTGGAGGATGATGCTCGTAAAGTTCCAACTAGTCAAGACCAACGTAAATGCTACACCATAATTAACGAAATCCTTCCAACGAAGCGATGGTTGAACACCCTTTCAAAAAAACAGTATATAGAAATAGTACACCGATGCGGTAAAAAAACAAAAAAAAGCAACTTGGACAAGATGGATGGTTACATGACTTTGATTGTTGACATAGGAACTTATAAAACGGATTTCATAATACAACCAGCCTTAGTTTTTTCCAGCGATTTAAGCAAGGTTGTACCAACTCGTCGAGTTTTACCCGATGAAGCACTCGAGTGGTATATAGTTATTGGAACCGCAGACACGGAGAATGTGAATCAAGAAATAACCGAACCATTTGTGGAACATATATACAGCTCAGTAGCAGGCTATAGCAACGCAATTCCTTATGAAAATTATCACCCTACTGCTATACTGCTCCTATACTTTAAATTTAAGGATCGTCGGAAGATGAAGAGATTTGCATTGAGTAAGAGAACTTTAGATGTCGACACAGAATTCGTGCCAATGCAACTAACTCCAGATCTCTTGGCCTTAATAAAGGAACATGCGATTGATTTGTTTGTTTACGCGCAAGGATGTGGGCCCACCCATGGAAAAATAATTCAAAAGATGTACGAGGGGTATCCAGAGGATTGTGTTGACAACATATTTGCAACTAGAACCGTTATACCTTTTCACGAACAAGATATTTTGCAGACATACAGTAGATGCACCGATAGCATTCACCCATTTCAAATATCATCGTTTGCCGACACTGACGAAACACCAGGGGAAACAAATAAGTGCTCTCCTAATTCCGAAATCATATATGAATTCGATCTTATTGGAAAGTCTTTACAGTCGACCGCACAGAAGGCAATACTCAATGTTTGGGTTTCTTTGCGGCAAGGAAAAACGAACCCATCTATTCTAGAAGGTACTCCCAGGGAAGTGGCGGCTCGACTTGCAGGAGTAACAGAAGCCCAACTAACCCGAGCAAACAAAAGATGGAGGGGAAACACAATTTCGACACCACAGCGCAATGGAAAGAGGCCCTGTCCAGTACAAACAAAAATTGATGAATTAGATCGTAATTGGATTAGAAGTGAGATTGTTAAATCATATAAAAACGGTGCCGCCATAACTGCTGCCGACTTGTACAAAAAGTTTATGCATTACAAAAAGAAATATTACGACGATGAGATGCTTCGTCATCGATCCAATCCAGATAACCACTCAAGACCTGACATATTTCATTGCTCAAAAAATACTTTCCATAGAGTACTACATTTAATGGGATTTACTAACGGGGTTATAGATAAAAGAGCAGGAATAAGTCAAAGAGAAGACATTGTAATATGGAGAGGAAAATACCTTAGAGAACTTCTCCGAAACGAAGCTGCCGAGAAGCCATGCAAAATAGTTTATATTGATGAGACGTAAGTCTACCTTTTCGGAATGTTTAGGTTCCGTAATTTGTGAACACATCTAAACCTAATGGTTGTTACAGGTGGGTTGATGGGAATATGCATGTGGCGCGAGGTTGGTTTCCAAAGACGTGTAAATCCATCAAAGAAATGGCTCCATTTACATATGGAACAACATCGATGGCAACTGGTAATATTAGGAGTATTCATAACAATGTTTTGAACATCGTGCTGGCAGCCGTCACCTTACCATAAACCAATAATTTAAGTACAAAATTACTATCTATAGGTCCTCGTCTGATTGTTCTGTCACCGAAGATGGTATAATCCCCGAACTTGTTCTCGTATACAAAGTGTCAAAATCCCAGACTGCAAGCGATTATCATGACAATGTAAATACCCAAACGTTTCAATCGTGGTATATAAAGTTGTTGGATTATCTCGACAGGACAAATGAAAAATGGATCATAATAATGGACAATGCTTCATATCATTCCACCAAAATTTTACCAAGGAAATCAGAAAGGAAAGAAGTTCTTTACAATTTCTTGCAGAAATATACAACAATGCCTGGTCTAAATATTAAATTGCCCTCTGATATGAAAGCAATAAGAAAATTTGAGCTGGAAGATATGCTGGAAAAGTAGCTCGGTTGCCGGAAATGCGGGATGAATTATATACAATCGACAAATTGACGAAACAGCGGGGTCACAGGGTTTTAAGGTTGCCACCTTACAACTGTGATCTTAATCCAATCATTAAGATATCTTTTGCATGACCTGTAATATATATAATTTTGACATATCTTACAATGAGGAGGTGTGAGGTGGTTATCGCCGATATCCACCGGACTAATTTTAAATTGTTCACGCTCAAAAATAAGTGGACCCGTATTTTTGCGTTTATGGGCATGTCCACGCCCGTGGCGGAATTTTCAAAAAAAAAATTCAGCCAATAAAAATCATTTTCAAAAAACTTTTAATTTTCAAAAAATCGGTTTTTTGGTGTCTAGAAATTCAGAAATAGCATGAAAATATCAATTTTTTTAAACTTTTAAAAATGAATTTTATATTTTAAGGGATGTAATTCTTAACAAAAATTGGGTTTATTTTTTTAAATCGGGTTAAAATTCGAAAGTTACAGCGTTTTCAAAAATCCGAATTTTCGCCTAAGTTTTTCTTAAAATTCCCCCACGGGTGTAAACATGCCCATTCAGGAAAACGCAAAAATACGGGTCCACTTATTTTTGAGCGTGAACAATTTACAATTAGTCCGGTGGATATCTGCGATAACCACCTCACACCATCGCATTGTTAGTATCCATATTTAAATTTGGTGACGTATTACAGAGAGGTGCTGGAAAGACACAAAACACAATACCAAACGAAGGAATCACAACAAAAACTTAGATGACATCAAGTTGATAATGCAAGAAGAATTAAAGAATTATGACAAAACCCTAGCTAAAAATCACTTTAAACATACTAAGAGGTTGGTTTCAGATGTACATTATTAAGGGCTGAAGCGAAATCCCTTTATGGAAATGTCCTGTCTGTCCGTCCGTCCGTATCCACGATAATTTTAGAACGGACTTGAATTTTGACATGTAGTTATCGCCTATATATTATAATGTGTTAAATTTGTATTTTTTGTCACTTTAAGGTTAGAAAATAAGTATTGGGAGGAGGATGGAATACTAGAAGAAACACATACTTCTCCAATTATAATAACAGAAGAAGATGAAGATAGTGGTGATGAAGATAGCGATCAAGAAGACTGCATAGCGCGAGCTACAACTGTTGTAATGGAGAATGGCGACCAGGTTGATCATGGAGGAGACTTGTCCCTCTGGGATTGCGACTGGGCGTACGACATATTTGAAAGGGAACTTGAGATAGGAAATTATATGGTAGACACAACAGCTACTCGTGGCAGAGGAAGAGGTAGAAGAGGCAGATGCCGTCAGTGCCCACTTTAGATGCACAATAACAAAAATCATAAATATTTATTTGCTAGATTTTACGGTAACAATTTTATGTTGAGTGTATTCATTACGAGTTAGCACGTTCGTATCGTAGCATTTTGAAACAAAAATGGAAAATAATTACCAGCCGTGCAGATGCACAAGTTTGTAGATGAATTTTTAAGCCAAAAATTTTGGATGTTCATTAATAATCTCTAGTGTTATTTTAAAATTTGTGTTGGAATTCAATTATTCAATAGCTTGTAATTAAATCTAACTTTGTAACCAGCATTGTAATTTTGTAATTTAAGCAATATTGGGAACGAAATTATAATTTGAAATTTGCGTACCAAGTAATTTAACGAGCTCTGACACATGCTAATATCAATTTTTTTGTTATTTTGTAAACATTTTTCGAAGTTATCATTAATAAAAGTTAATTGATTGAACGCACGGACGCACAGCAAAGGTTAAAATGCTCTAGTTATAAAGAAAAATTGGTTAATTTGTATAGTAATTGTAAATTGGTAATATAATAATGCAAGTAAATAAAAATTTATAGTGCAAAAATAATGTCTGGGCAGAGATTTGAACCTGTGCCGGTCAGATCCCATTCAACTGGGATCGGATGTTTTGTCCCCTGTGCCACCATGGCACGACTTCGGCCGAAAACACATACATCCATTTCTACCCGTCGGGCGAGCTCTTTTGTCAGCCACTGAGACAAATGAAACTGGTAGGGACATTAATAATAAATCAGAACCAAGAATTGTGCAGTGGTGTGTGTGTGTGTGTGTGTGTTACCAGTTGAACTTGGCGCTTGATTACACACGTGTCTCACATTGTCCAAGCTAACGTCACCTAGCGGCAGTTTGGGCACTATGTTGCATTTTTCTTTTCTAGAGGGCGTTTTTCGCTAAAGTATCAAAACGTTCCAAAAACGTTGACGAACACGAGAACAACGAAACACACCCTTTACCTGACATTTGGCCTGTGACCTGGGGACACCCACTAGACTTGACACTTAACCTGTGACCTGGGCACACCCACTAGACTTGATATTTTACCGCGGCCCACTCCCAAGGGTTGACACTTGACCTGTGACCCCACGCTATGGTTGACACTTGACCCGTGCCTTACTAATTTTAATTACCTACCAGCGCCAACTACCGGACGTTGGTTGCTTTTCAGCGCTAGAGGGCGGGCTTACGCTTCAAGTGCCGAAACGTGTTTTAAACGTTAGAACAATTAAATACTCCCTGGAATCGACTACGCTTGAACGCTGGGCACACCCTGGAGTCGTAACTGAACGTTTTTCGTGGTCACACCCTTCTGAACGTTTTTCGTGGTCACACCCTTCTGAACGTTTTTCGTGGTCGCCCTGTTTAGAGTCGTGACCGAACGTTTTTCGTGGTCGCCCTGTTTAGAGTCGTGACCGAACGTTTTTCGTGGTCACACCCTTCTGAACGTTTTTCGTGGTAGCCCTGTTTAGAGTCGTGACCGAACGTTTTTCGTGGTCGCCCCCTTTAGAGTCGTCACTGAACGTTTTTCGTGGTCGCACCCATAGAGTCGTGACTGAACGTTTTTCGTGGTCGCCCCTTTAGAGTCGTGACTGAACCTTTTTCGTGGTCATACCCCCAATAGCTGTGACGGAACGTTTTTCCTGGGTATACTCCTTACTTTCTTTGTGTTCACACATTTTAGATTCGTAACTGAACGTTTTTCATGGTCACACCCATAGAGCTCAGACGGCACGTTTTTCGTGGTCACGCCCTTTAAAGTCACGTTTTTCATGGGTGGTCACACCCTTTAGAGTTATGGCTGAACGTTTTTAGTTGTCACACCCTTTAGAGTCGTGACAGCACGTTATTCTTGGTCACACCCATGGAGCCGTGACTGAAAGTTTTCGTGGTCACGCCCGTAGAGTTGTGCCTGAACGTCTTTCGTGGTCACACCCTTTAGATTCGTAACCGAACGTTATTCTTGGTCACACCCATAGAGTCGTGCCGAACGTTATTCTTGGTCACACCCATAGAGTCGTGACTGAACGTTTTTCTTGGTCACACCCTTTAGATTCGTAACTGAACGTTTTTCGTGGTCACACCAGTTAGAATCGTGACGTGACGAACTCAACATATTAAACACTAGCGTATAAGCCCGTCTCCCACCGGGCGACGGGCTTATTTGATTTCGTGAAAATTAAGTGGTATTTCATAATTCCACCGAATGATTTTTGTTTTCTACCTATATTATTAGCTGGTAATGTCGGTTGGCAACGGAAGTGAAACTTTCACCACTTTCACTTCCGTCACGGAAAATTACTTTCACTTCCGTTGCAGACAAACATTTCCAGCTTATAATATAGATGGCGCTATACAACGTGACAATCAAGTTCACGCTCCTTTGCTCTGTGTGAATATAAATGTTTAACAATTATTCAGCAGGCATTTGTATCGCAAAAACTAAATAAAATGTTTTTACTTAGAGCCCGCATTGCGGCTTAAGAGACTAGTATAATTTAAAGTGGTTGAAATTATAGTCGAAAAAATAATTACAGTTGTAGAGTTACAAATTTTGTAATCAAATTTTGTAAAGTGTAGGATTTAAACGACTTTGCAACTTTTTTTATGTATAATTAAACTATTGAAGAGTAACTCTTATTCCTCTTGAATTAATCGATACGCAAATTCTGGAAAATGTTAACATAGGTAACTTCCAAAGTTTTTGCATGTTCGAAACAGTTCATAAGTTTTTTAGGTTTTCTGAATGAAATTTTTCGTAAAAAGGGGTGTAATTTTTTTCCCCAAAAAATTACGAAGAAACTCGAATTTTTTTATTTGCGAAGATTGCTGATTTCGAAAACCATTTATTTATCAAATAAGTTGTGATGCGAAACGATACGTGTACATCAGTACTACTTGAAACTGAGGAAGGTTTATAATGGAAATAAATATTAGGTCCTCTCAAAGCTCTAAAAAAAGAGCAGATTTTTCTGCTCATCGCTCATTCTGATCTTTTGTGCTCGGCTGTGCGCATGCGATTTCGCTCAAAATCAGATTTCTTGCTCAACAAAAAAATCGAGTTTTGGGTTGATTTTTTCTCTCATAATCCTGCTCATTCTGCTCCACATCAGCAAATCAGTTGTTTGTTTACTTCAATTTTTGGTTTAAAACTTAAGTAAAGTTTTGTAAAACATATTATTTATCATTATGGGTCCCAAGACCAAGGTTAAGAGTACCAGTGTCGAAAATGTTGTAAATCCCGTAATTTGTCGTAACAAGTGGAGGTAGGCGGCCGAAAAACATTTCGCTGGACACCACAAATAAATTGACATGACACATTATGTGTCGACAATAACACCGCATTTAAGGTAATTATAATTTGTTATCCACATTAATTTTGAATGACCAAATCCTTAATC